CTATCATGAAATCAACCAAAAACAAGTGCTGGCAGGGTTGTGGGGAGAAAGGAACCCTTCTTCATTATTGGTGGGAGTGAATACTGGTGTAACTGCTGTGGAAATCAATATGGAGATACCTCAAAGAACTAGGATTGGAATTCCCATCTGACCCAGGTATTCCTCTACTGGGTACCTTCCCCCCAAATTCAAAGAATCATACCACAGTGATACATTCGCACCCATGTTTATAGCGGCACAGTCTGTAATAGCTAAATCTTGGAAACAGCCCAATTGCCCATCAACTGGAGACTGGATAAAGAAGATGTGGTTTTTCTATAAAATGGAGTACTACTTAGCCATAAAGAATGAGAAACTAGAGACATTTATAGCTAAGTGGATGCACATTGAGGCCATACTCTTAAGTTAAATACATAGGACAGATGTGTAAATACTGAATATTTTTTCTGTTGTGAGTTTATTATTCTTCTTGTCTCTTGCCTTCTTCACACCATGAGTACATGAAAAAAATACTAGCAAGAAAAATTTTAAAAACCTTCTAATAAAAAATAGAAAAAAAGAGAAAAAAGTAACAAATATGTGAATTTATCTGGGAAGGGATAGAACAGGTAAAAACAGTTAGAGGTGGATGAATGGAAAAGCTGGTCAGGAGAATATAAGGAGTAAGACAGGCAAGATAAGATGGTTTCTGGTTCATACAATGAATATCTGAGCAATTCTGATATTGTTCTTTAAGGGCCCAGTGTTTCTTATCAGGCTGAGACTGACCATATAGTATGCTGAGTAACAGTACACTGTACACTCATGGACAACACATTTATGGACGAACTCGTGGATTTATCAAGAAACATTCTGCCATGTAAAATGGATTAATAACAATGGCTGAACAAGTGACGCTTATTTATCCTTCACATAACATTCATCACAGAAGCAGTCCCATACCATTTTTATCTATAAATCAAGCCAAGAAGCCACACTCCTTCTATATTATTGTTCTACCACCTTCAGACAGTTGTCTTTGCCTGCATGAATCAAGATGACTTACCAGGACAGCCCATACCATATCTATCTTTCAAGTTAGTCAAGGAAGAAGAAGCACACTTGCAGAATCTTCAAGAATATGATCTATAAGTGGCATAAATAATTTTAGTCCTAATGGACTAGAAATTAGACATAAAGCCAAACATATATATATGATATATATCATATATATATCATATATATATCATATATATCATATATATCATACATATATATCATATATATGATATATATATGATGTTATATGAGTTTCTACTGAGCTTGGTTTAATCTCTAATAATTGGTTTAAATGAAAGATGACATTCAAACATTTGAAAAAATTGGTGAAAATAAACAACCCCATTTGTGAAAAACAACAAGAATGCAAGAGACACTTGGGTCTTTTTTGTGAATTTTTTTTGAGAAATTTTACAAAGCAGAAGAAATAGGCCTACTCTACTGATACTTTTCAAAGTTTTACTCGGCAGGTGACGGTGTTATTAAGTGTTCAGAAGCTTAAGCAAAAACAAATACAGGCTGATTGTTCCCATATGTGATTATGTTGTTGGGTGCCATAAAACAAAACCTTTCATGACAGAAGAATTGAATTTTTCTAGGATTAGTAAGCAGCTGTAGCATTTGTACAGTGTCTGTGTGCCAAGACTGAGTCCTGGCCCTATCATTTTCCAACTTTATAATTTGGTGAGTCAATTTTCTATAGATAAATTTTTATTAGCCTGTAAAATGGAGATGCAAAATATTCCAGAGGACTAGAATAAAGATTTTATATATATATATATATATGAAATCAAATGTTTATTAGATGGTTCTCAATAAATGTTACCTCAGTGTCCTTGCTCCTATTAACTGGTCCACTATTTAAAAATTTTATTTGTTCCATCAAGTTTTATATGTTAATGGAATTATGTTTTCTAACAAATTATTGTAGAGAACTATTATTGAAGCTTATCTGTTTTTTGCTATCTGTCATAATAGCTATAGAAGAAATTTGTTCAATTTGATCACCAACAATAAAGTTCTGAAAAAAAAATAAAGTAAAGTTCTGAATTAGATGGTAAAACTTAAAACTTCAAGGGAGAAAAATGCTAGCACCAGTTAGAGGAATATACTAAAATTAGTCTGATTTGAGTAACCATGTTTTAAATTTAGAGCCTGAAGACCCACCCTCGTACGGAAGCAGAACCCCAAGAACTCCATTTTGTATCCTGTATACTTAAGCGTTGAAGTGATTGTGAAAACTTTAAAACTTGAGGATTACTGGCATAAAGATGCAAGTATGAAACTGTTACTGATCAAGATACATTACATGAAGGTGTCATGAATAAACCCAAGGTATGTATCAGTTTTCCTTGGTCTGACAATGAGTAAATAAAAGTTATTCTCCTGATTAGGTACTTCTGTTCAAGTTGAATCTTCCTTCTACCTCCCCCCCCCTTTTAAATTCATGAGTCACACCATTATTTTTTTTTTAATTTTTGTGATATGTGGGTTAAAGCCACAGCTTTATGCATGCTAGTCAAGTGACCTACCATTGAGCTACAACTTTCTCTCAGCCCTTTTTATTTTTTTATTTTCAGACAGGGTATGCTTAATTTTCCTGGACTGGACTTGAACTTGTAAACCTCCTAATTCAGCCTCCCAAGTAGCTGGGATTACAAGAATGTGCCACCACATCTGATTAATCAAGTCAATTTTTTCAGCTAATTATATCCTTATCTGGAAGGTTTCAAGAAATTCATTAACATTTGGAGGATTGGCATGATAGAAAACCTATTAGCAGATCCAGATGTGTAGCTACCATTTAAAATCAACAATGTTCCAAGCAGGAGGTGATTTACAAATATTATTTTCATACCTTAAAGAGTAGAAAAGAGTAGAAAATGTAACTATTATGATCCCCACATTATAATAGGAATATTATTCTGAGGTCAAGAAGTTAAGTGACACAATGACTATTTCAGAGCTAATTGTACAGGAAGCACATGCAAAGTAATTACAGAGAAAAATCAAAGAGAAGAAATGTGGCCCTAAGCAGAGAGAATTCTATTCCTATAAAACTTTTTAACTCAATACAAAACTAGATGCACCATGAGGATTTGGGAATAATTGGTTACTTGTATCTTTTCTAAAGTCAATACTGTTTAAGTGAGAAGTAACACAACGTAGCTAGCACACAGACATTTATGGGGGTGTCTCAGAATAAAAACTAATTAAAATAGCATTAGTAAAGAATGGCCAATCTTCTGTTCCCATGGTTCTCTGGAGAAAGCCATTCTCTACTGATATTGGAGAGCCTGGCCCAATTACTACACTGCATCCATTAATTTTATAGGCTTTTACTCTTCCATAAAAAAGTGAAAACAGATTGGAACCTGGGAACAATTTAAAGCCTCTCCTTTGAATCTCACATTGAATCCTGGCATCCCTCCCCCGACTCCTTTTCACAACACAAGAAGGTAAAACTGTAATTTCCAACTGCAGCATACCTGCTTTCACAGCAATGTTGCTGATTATTACAAACACAGAAGTAAGACTCTTGTAAGCACAGCTTCCACTAACAGAATGCTTTATAGACTCCAAGTGCTCACTGTTGAGTAACTCACATTTGACTGCCTGGTTCAGAGAGCGTATTTGGTTTCCAATCATTGAGGCAGATTTATCTGCACATTTTCAGGCAGGATAGTAGATTAACTAAATCTAATGGTACTGCTGAGTTCTAGGAATAAAATTCTATGTTCTTTCATTTATAAACTAATGACTCTACAGTGTAATGAAATTCTAAAAGTTTCAATCAGCAATTTAAAGCTGCCCAAATATATTCCATGCTAATATTACATAATGTTGAAAATGTTAAAAGGGATGAACTTTTTAGATAAACATGTATTTAATCACAAATCCTCCTAGATAGACCTTGAACAAAATACTAGATTATATTTTAATACCATTTATACCATCATGTCTTTGATACTGATGTCAATATGATTTATATTAACTGTGTACAAAGCAGAATGTCAGGTATTTGCATATACTGTACTAACTCTTATTTGAATAAAATCTCTTAACATAACGGCACAAGCTGTAGGAGAGGAAAATGAGACTCTTTAAATTACTTGCTCAAGACTGTGTGTATACACTTTACCCATAAGGAGGCATTAATATTAGTTCCATTAAACCTTACCATTGGCCATGACAGGATTTTGGTATAGAGGAAGATTTTTTTAAATAGATTTTTTTTATAGATTTTTTTCTTATAGCAAACATGAGTGAGAAAACTATACTATATCTTTTATTTTATTTTTTCTATAATGTTCAATTGCTCTGAAACCTTAACATCTGTGTAACCAGTCAATGATTTTAAAGAAAGCGTTTTCTCCTGAAGAGCAGTCCAACATAAAGGAAATTCCTTTACTTTGCTTTTCCATCGAGGTAAGGCAATTACGGTTCTTCTCTAAATGATAATTGAAAACTTGATACACTTACCCTCAACCTAAGTTAATTTTTTGGCTTTTCAACTATTTAAAAGGCTAGAAGCCACACAGCAGAAAGAGTAAAGTTTACAGTCAAATAACTCTTGTGCTACTAAGTAGCTAGCTGCAAGATCTTGAATAAGGTTTTAGTTTCCCCAAATTTCTCTTTTCACATTTATACACTGGGGATAATAATACCTACCACTTAGGGCTATTGTGATAATACTGACTCATGTAAATAACACAAAAACACACAGTAGGAAATCAGTCAAAAATTTAACTTCTTTACTCGTTCTCTATTCAACTTTAGGAGCTAGAGAATAATTACTGTAAATTAATAAAAAGGTTTTTCTGAATCTTCTTGTGTACTGGGTGAAAACCTTCATAATTTTTATTTCATTAGATGTTCATTACAAAAAATTCACACAAATACAAAACACTATGATTTTCTTGGTGACAAAGGGCAAAATATTAAGAATCATGTCCTCTTACCATAATATGAAGCAATTTCAACGCTCAAACTTCATTTGGGATATTTCATCTATAAGGATTCTACATCTTGAAACCATCTTCAGTGAATTTCCTAAATGAAATGAAACAAAAAATCTTGGGAATATGGAAAAATAATAAATTTAGCTTCTAATAGTTGTCATCTCAAGTACCTCATGTCATTTTCCATCTAGATATTTTTGCTCTAATTCTAAAAGTAAAAAAAAATAAAAAAACAAAAAACAAAAAACAAAAACCACACAAGCATTTCCAGGCTGCAAATTTGTAGTCCAATCTGATGTACCCATCCTGGATAACACCACTGCTTACATTTTTACATAATGACTTTCATTATATGTAGTATTTGTGGGTCAATATGTATTCTTAAATAGATGTTAGGAAATAATAATTAAAATATAAAACACTTTTCCTATCAGACAGTATTTTCATTCAATTTTTTGAAGTTACTATGTATCAGTAATATCATGTGGATGATGAGAGAAAGTATGGAGCAATCAAGTTACACTTAATCTGTTAGCGAAAGAGAAATAATTTTAATGCATAGCATTTTTCTTTTAAGAAGCTTATAAATGTCCTTCTAAAGCATAAATGAATAAAACAAAACCACTGTAACACTGGACATATTTAGTTAATTTTTAGCATTTTAATTATTATGAATACATATATTCTATCCATGATAATTTTGCAAACTGAAAGCTCATTCAAACATTTACCGATATAAACCCCCACTGTAAAAAGTGAGAAATTTCCAGATTATTATTCTTAGATAATTCTTTTTGGGGGGGGGTACTGGGAATCGAACACAGGTCCGTGTGCTTACAAGGCAGGCGGCAGAACCACTAAGCTAAATCCCCTGCCCTCTTATTTCCTTTTTTTATCTTTCCTTCTTCCTCACACGTGCAAGCATACTGACATATATATACACACACACACACCTGACAAGTCAAATTTATTGCAAGAAATTATAGTGAAATTGCACAAAACACAATTAAATCACAATTATTCAACAGCCTAGATCTATACCCTTTAATAACTGTTTTGGTTTCATTAAAATAGAGTCTTCTACAAAATAATTAAATAAAATCCTGGTTATGCAAATCACAGAAAGGAAACACAGAACACTTGATTGTCTGAAATAGCTCAAGCTTAAGGAGGCATGTCATAGTGATTAATTTAAATTAGTCACTTTGGAACAAATTTTTAGCTTCAATCTCCTGGTGGCTTCCTGGATTTTTATTTCTGCAAAAAAAAAATATAATCACAATTGTACTAGGTGGCACAAATGAGTCTCTCTTCCCAAACGTTAGATACAAAAGAGTCTGCTAGGTCCATCCACTAATACTGACATCTTCAGTTCTCGATAGATTCATTTCAGGTAAACACTCTGAACAAAGTTTGCTCTGATCTCTCAGTGGAGGCGTGCTAAGAATTCTCCGTCTTTAAATTACTGTTTCTTATCTCCTAATGAATGCTTCTATATCCTGATTTGAGATTTGGGCACTGAGACACCACACGACATATTTCCATTGTCAGTTGCCCTTTTTTTAAGGTTCTACAATAGGGAGCACTAAAGAGAGAAAGGAAACATTCTTTCCTTTCCTTAGTAATCATCCTTCACCAATTTAGCCTCAGCAGTTTGTGCACAGATTTTGCAAGCCCTTCCAAGACTAACTCACTCTGTCTCCTCAGAGGTGCCAGCACCAGGTGGCTTGCATCCCTTCCTGACAGTTCCTGGAGTTTGAGTTCCCTCAGTCCTCTGTTCTGAGCTCCTGCAACACCATCACTGGCAGCATAACCCATCTCCAAAAAATATGGACTGGAGATATGCAAGGTCTCTCTTGCAAGGTCCCAGGATGTTCTTCATTTATATCCAAACCCTATAGTGAGAGCTATTATCTCTGTATAAACCCAGGGGCCTCTTTTTCATGTTTCAGTTCTGCAATAGCTGTATAAAGCATCCTTATATAAAATTTATTTGCTGAAATAACAGATATTGTTTGCTTCTTCCTGAGTGAACTGTATTAAAGAATCTGGATTTTATTTTTAGAATGGAGGTGGGCAAAAACAGAAGAGACGGGAAGATAAAGAGTCTAACTTTCATGAAAGTACTTGCCATTTATTTTGTAATTTAATCTCCAATAATGTGTGTAAAATGTGATAGGTTATTAAAACACTCAAAAATGAAAAAAATCAAGTTTCTATAATGTGTTATTACCTTTATATACTTGATTCCATTTAGTACTCATAAATTTTCTGAAGAGACTGAATTAGATTCATTTTATGGATAAAGAATTGAGATGGAGGATAAATTACATGTACTATTTTAAACAACTTATAAGTGATAGCTATATAAGTAACAGTAAGAGGCAATATATATTAAAAGAAAAACAAGGGAAATATTTCCTTTGATACAATTTTCAATCACATTTACCAAGAATTTTTCTTTGCTCTTCTCTGAAATATTGGTTTACTGTGTGTGTGTGTCTGTGTGTGTGTGTGTGAACAGTTTTGCCCTTCTCTTCTGCAGTGAAAAGAAAGGCACACTGATTGTTGATGGAGGTAGTGAGGGATGGGGTGCAGTGGAAGAAGGCAGCTGATGTGGCCATGTGCAGCATGAAGGAGGAATCTGGGCATGTGAGAACAGAATCTGCCACTGGACATCTGCCAGGTCACTGTCTCCCAGGCTGTGCACAAGATGTATTGTCAAGGCCTTCACACTGTCATATACTCAAGCTGCTAAGAGCTGGAGAATTCAACATACAATTTCCCCTCTAACTGTAACAGTGCGTAACTTGTGATTGAGATAGCTAAAGTGATAATTCGCTCTACTCTGAACTGTCCCTATTTCTCTCACCATACATTATGTCCAAATTTTTATACAGTAAAGATTCCCTTTGCCTTTACAAAATGGCAATCAACTAATTTCTAAATTGTCACACTATTATTGTAAAATACAAGGAAAAATGCTACATTCATTATAAAAAAAAAAGGTGAAAAAGTAAGTGACTCTAATCATCATCAGTGTAGCACCATTAGTGTTTAGACTAATAGGATGAAACTGTGTGGAGTGATAAATATAATTAGTCTCAAATAAGTCCATGACAGGAAAATGGGAATTCTAGGATGATATTCACCGTTATGGAAATCAAAGGCAACTTGGCAGCAGGCACCTTTGGAAACAGCACAAGCTCTGTGAGACTGCATGTAACACTGGGTGGTGGGGGTGAAAACAGGATCTGGGAGATTGACAAGACTGCTGGTGCCAGATGTTGTGATGCCAAACAGGAATGAATAGAAGCTGTCCACATGGTCTTGTAATTCAGGTGACTTTTCAATAATTTAAAACTGAACCTTAATTTTTATTAAACAGACAATTTTTTTTTCTTGACAGTGGAATCATTTTCTTATCTGTATTTCCCAAACTATTATGCATGATGCTTGTGCACTAGAAGATGCTAACACATGTCACAGAGTCAGGCTTTAGCAATGCTACATATTCTATGCATCTCTCACTGTCTTGCTCTCTCTCCTTCCTCTTCCCCCATTCTTTCTCTTTATTTATTCACAATCTTCTACACATAGTCAGGATTCTAAGAATTCCACAATTTAAAAAATTATTTAATAAATTGACCACAGAAAATTTTTCTCTTTTTTTCATGTTACACACTCTCCTAGGGATGATGACATTTCTCTGGGACAGTTTGGGAAATGCTGAACTAGCTCTCTAAAACTCCTGGAATTCCAGAATGCTGTAATTTTAAGAGGAGATGTTTAGTTTAGAAGGAGCAAGTGACAGCACAGGGAATTTTTCCCTAAAATAGCTCTGACTGCCTCTGTAACCAGGTGTTTGGACAAAGGCCATTCAGGAGGTTGGTGGTTGAGGGCCATGGACAATGGTCTATGCCCTAGTCTCTCTGGGTGTAGTAAGCACTGTATTAAAATACTGTGCATGTGAAGCATTCCCTGGGAGGCATTATTTATTTAGCATCACTTCATTTTTTAGGTCAATGAGCACAAGGGGAAGTTTTCTCTAGGAAAGATCAGGAAAGAAAAGAATGACAGGAATTAGCTACCTGCTCCCCATGCAATAAAAAGCCAAACTACAAAGTACGAGCTTACGCATGTGAAATCTGGCAGAATTAGGAAGCTTTACTTTGGAGGAGAACCGGAATGAAAATGCTGTGCCTGAAGTAGACATTAACACTTTATTTTATGGATATGTTCCTGCTTTTAGCTCAGCATTCCCTAGATTCTCCTAAACTTTATGATTCTTGTTTGACTATCATCTGTCTGTTACAGGTGAGGCATCACAATTCCAGGTGGCAGTAATAAAGTCCATACTTATGGATCTCCCAATCCCCAATTCATAGAACATAAACTTTGAGTTTATATAAGCACAGCAATTTCCACTTTTAGGATGTGAAACATTTCTTCCTGTTTTTGTTGTTTTGACTCTTTACAATACTTTACGCAAAAACAGCAAAGACCATCATAAAAGAGGTAGATCTGGGAAGATAAAATTTATCTAAAGATTTTGACATTTAGTGGAAAAAGCATTCATGGATCTCTTCATCCCAGAATTTCTATTAGCCACTAAAAATATGCCAATGATTATTAATCACTTTAAATTTTTGTTTTATGTTCTAGGCAATGCAACAAGTTCTTTAGAGCAACACAAAGCCTCCAATAAGCCAAGAGATTTGCACTCTAAGTCCATTTTGTCAAAAGAAAAAATCAATTCAGAGTAGTCACATAAACTTTCTCAAAGTCATATTTCTTTCAAGTGGCTCATCTTATACTCAAATATACGTTCATCTGATTTCTAAGTTTAAGGTTTTACTGGTGTTCCATTGTTAACTATGTTTCAATGCAGTATGATCATAGTAGCTGCATTAGTCCATTTTCTGTTAAGATAAAATCATACCTGAATAAGTTTATAACAAAGATAGGTTTACGTAGCTCACAATTCTGCAGGATCTAGAGAATGTTTTTCACACCACCTTGGCTCTGGTGAGGACCTCATGGAAGATGGTTTCCAAATGGTTGGAACCTGTAATGCCTGCCTGAATGAGA